TATAAAACAAATGGTAAACACCACAGCGTACACTATTGAGTTATGGATGCACTTGGGAGGTTTGCTAAGCACTCAAGAAGCTAGAGTCACTCTCGGCTATCGCCTCGAGCGACTCTTACGCTTCTTTCGTGCCTAGCAACCTCCCGCGTGCATCCGTAACTCAATGGTGTACGCTGTGGTGTTTACCATTTGTTAATTACAATTGGTTTAAAAAGTGACCGATGGCCCAAAACGGGGTTGAATGCATGGCATTGGTTGTTAGCTAGAGGCGAAATTGGATTTTACTCATCAAATTACTTCTCGATCTTAAATCGCTTTCTGTCTTTGTAAAAGGAAAGCTGAAGCATGAAACAGTTGTTTAATGATATTTCAGAGTAAACCGGCTTTTGGCGTCATAATGAAGGTACTGTATTTGCTCTAGTTGTGAACAAAAGATATTGATTAACTTTTCTGCTTTATCTAGCAGAATGACTAAGTAGTAAAGTTTGCTCTACACATGAAAACAGGGTTGTAGGAAATCTATCTACTAGTAGCTAAAACCTTGAGTCAGACATTTTCCCGTCCTGCCCGACCAAACTCCTACAGCGTACACTATGGTGCTAAGCACGAAGTAAAGAGTCAAGGAATGTGCAAACTTAAGATTGTTTAAGATTAAGCTTAAGGCTAACAAGCATCTTCTCAATAGCTTCAATTTTGCCAAAGATTCCTGCTGTGTTTCAATGAAACACGATGACTTTCTCTATTTTTAATTGTAAATTAATTATTGATTTGTATTTATATTATCTGATTAGAATTGTATTTAAGAAGTAATTTCACTCTGTTTTCCAATTTTTAAAAATTTTATTATGTATTTTATTGTCATTGTATTTAATTTGTAGTTAGGCAGGTCCACATCAGGACTTCGGTCTTGCCAATCCTTCTAACCTGCATTGTTAAACAAAGATGTATGTATGTATGTGTGTGTGTGTGCGTGTGTATGTATGTATGCGCGAGGCGATAGCCGTGAGCGACCCTGGCTTCTTGAGTGCTTACCATAAAGTAACAGACTGATTCTACATGAAGGTAAATCTGAGGCAGTGGTCTTAAGTATTACCCCCTTCATAGGTCCTTTGAAACAGCTGAAGTGGGGTGTGGACACCATTCGGTATGTGTCCTCTACCAATTGCCTTGGGGTTTCAACTGATGATAAACTCTCTTGGTCTCAGCATGTTGCATTGGCTAGATCTGTATTTAATGCCAAAGTTAAAATGTTGAGACGTATAAATTTCCTATGTACATCTATCTTGGAGACTTTTTACTATAGGATAGTTATACCAAGTGTTCTATATGGAGTTGTAATTTGGGGGTCTGGACCCAAGCTTAATGATCTAGAAATGATTCATATCAGGGCTGCCAGGCTGATTTATAAGATACCAAATAGTTTTGAGGATAATGATGTACTTTCTGAGGTTGGCTGGATGCCTTTAGAGTATTTTTATAAGCTACGTATCTTAACTATTACATATAATGCTTATTATAATTTAGGGTTGCAGGAAATTAATTGTTTGGTGACCAAGAACTCTAACAGCTATAACCTAAGGAAATCCCTGAATGTTGTACTTAATAGGCCCAAAACTGAACTGGGTCATAGGTCCTTTGCTCATAGATCTGCAGTAGCATGGAATGCACTTCCGGATAATCTTCAAGATTCTCCAAATTTTTCTGTTTTAAATATAACTTAAAACAATCCAAGCAAACTGTCATGAATATTAATTTTGAAAAGGGAGGTAATGTTATACAAAACATGAAACTAAATTTTCACTATAACTAAAATTTTATCGTTTACTTAATTTATTCAACTTATAAATTTTATCATATCTGTATCTTATATAATTATAGACTAATTAGTTTAGGCAGGTCCACATCAGCTGTAAAGTTGCACAAATTTTAACCTGCGTTATCAAATAAAGTTATGATGATGATGATGATGATGATGATGATACCAAACCTCCCAAGAGGAAAGCAGAAAGTAAAAAATACATTCATTTCTAACGATTCATAGAAATCTATTTTCTTCAGGGGAAGAACTCTTCATCTCTATGATCTCAGTTGAATCAGAACAGATCTAAGCAAAGTTGGAGCCTTGTTCCGATTTTTCCATCATCTGCAACTGCGGAAAACAGTATTCAGGAATACTGTGCAGTAAACAACATCAGAAGCCTGTATTCCATTTTCAATATTGCCCACTTTAGACAGAATCGCAGAATCATTGAATAAAATCTCGCATTCTGATTGGTTCACGAAGCGAGGTATTTGTATGCGTAATCAAATGGCAATTTAGGCGAGGGAAATTATCAGAATTTTGACGAAACGCAAGTGAGATTATTTCCTAATTTTACGAGAAAACCATTTGATTACCTTTTAATATCATGGGTGACAAATTATGTTCACAACCGTAATTGTTTTTACTATCGAAAACCGAGAACATGAAAATATAGTTTTCGTTAAAACATGCATTATTGTTAAAGTTCGTAATTTTCTGAGTTTCTTCTCAAGAAATACCTTTCGAATTCTTCGTGCCTGTTAACAATTTTCGGCCGCTTCTTTTAATTTCGTAACTTCTTCAAGGGTCACCGTCTTAAATCTCGACGCCAATTTGGCTCTGATCAAGGTTTAAGAGATGTTACTATGGCAACTTTGTAATTTCACATGTGAAATTAAAAGTTAACGCTGAAATTTCGCGCCAAAATTAAGGAGTAATTTGTCACCTATGATATTGAGCGTGGACTTGCGTGTTGAAAACGAGGCTAAGCGAAATTGTTTTGCATCCACGTCACTAAGCGCAACAACTATCGTCAAATTGTTTCAAAGTTTGGTTTCTAAGTCAATTTAAAATGTTTTCAAAACCATTGTCACCTTCTAAAGAGCAAAAACAACAAAAGCGTTTTCAAAGTGAGCCTGAGATTCTTCCTTGTTTTAAATTAGGTTAGTGCATTAAAAAGATATTTTTAATTTCATTCGAAAGATAAGTGTAAACTGTAACAAGCCTGGTTATCGTTGATGTGCGGCCCAGCACCTCAAGCCTGACTGACACTCGATGCCGAGACTCAACCTCGTTCCCAGGCTATGTCCACCACATTACTTTACACCCCTCTATTAACTATGATTACACCGAAAAACTCTGCCACACAGCACTTATTGTGCATTTTCTTGGACGGGAAAACCAACCGAATCTCTAATTCTGGCCCTTTATGGCCAGGATAGTAAGTTTACCCTAAGCAGAGATGTAGAAAAAAGTTCCTGGCCCTTACACAGTAATTGGTTCCAACAAAACTATTTCTGCTCCATATTCTCAAGGTAATACTGTAATATTTGGGCAAAATACTCCCTCTGTGCTACCCAAAAGTTGTACGAGTAAACGCCTATAGGCGTCTAATTATATTTGTAATATGTCGGTTATCTCGTTTTCGCAGACCTGAGGTAGTAATAACGTTGCTGAGTTTCCCGTAACCGCCTTTTTTGTTAAAATTATTTGTTAAGTCAGTAACACAAATTTTACACACTCGTGTTCGAGTACGTTATTGCTTCGGCTTTTTCATGTTGTTCGAATCGTGGCGAACGAATTGACTTCGAATTTTGAACTCTAGTCCACGAACACTCGTTTCGAGAGCAGGCTCACATGATTCACTTCGTTCAAGTTACACCACATAAGAATTCATTCATCATTCCCGAAAGAATGATGAATTTAACACCGTGCAGGATATCTCACTTTCTCTTATAATACTTTTCAGGTAAAAATATCATAGAGAGAATATTCTTTGATCACCCTTTATATCCTGTGTATTACTTGAAGTTCTTCGACATCTTTTGGCAAATTGTTCCTTCATAAGAAATGATGAAAACAATTCCACACTTTCCTAGAAATATTGATTAATTTTGAGAAAATTAACGCTTTAAGTGGATACTTTACCACAGACGACACTGGCAGCTTTTATTTTAATTTGAATTCGTTCTCTTATAATTTTGCCGGCTTGCTAACTAAATTCATTCGGTATTTGCATAAATTAACCCCTACCCTACTTTTCAAATACGTATTAACTATTGCCTGTGGTCTAAAGCGCAACGAAAGTAATTTCCGATGTTGTGATTTCTTGTTCAATGAACTTTTGTCAAAGCTAAGTTTGGCTCAACTTTACTATATTTAGCTTATCCTCGAGGTAAATTTAAGAAGATATCAAAGGTCATAGAAAACAATGAATATACCACGCATAAGCAAGGACTAGAAACGTAATGTAAGCATCAGGTACGGCTTGATTAGTTGTTAAGTTATGATGTATACCATTGATGGGTAAAAACATTTGTGGTGTTGATGTTTCGTCGACTTTTAGAGCAGTATCACAGTATTCCTATTTTCAGTCTTCGGTAGATTACGAGCAGTCCCTCATTTCGGCGAAGTTCGTCAAGCGAGTTAAAGAAAATCAGTGAAATGAAATGTCGTGCGCCGCGCCTCACTCAGAGTTCCACGCAGGTCGCAAACATCGATATTTTTATCTCTGTATCATTTCCTTCTCGCCAAAAAGTAGAAACTACTCGTCTCTAATTTTGCATTGTCGCGGTGATCATACCTTATTATAGGAAATTAACAATGCATATAATTAACGCGAATTTAAAAAATTCGCGTTAATTTTATGTATCTTAATTTACCTCATTGTTAATTAAAATGACGTTAATTGAAAGCATCGTTATTTAAAGACACCTTCATTATAAGCAAAGCTACAATTCCTCTACGTCACCGTTAGAGTCGGTTGACGCATCATCATTTAATATTAAGTTCAAAATGTCCTTAGATTCATCAGTGTAGCGATCGTCTTCTCCGAGGGGATAACTCACTTCTTCAACTTTCTT